TACGAGGGGCTGCCGCCGCCACGGAGCGATCAAGTGGTGCGTGGGCCGGCGAGTCCAGCGCAAGCCGGGTGGCTCGTTCAGGCCCGAAGAAATCACTTGTGTCGAGCATTCGTAAGACAGTTTGACGACAAATCAAATCTAGTGATTTGATTGGCGAATAGTACGACTTGCCAATTCTGTTGGCACTGCCAGGCGCAGAGTCTCTGCTAGGAAGGCCCGCGTTCCTCTTCGCTACTCTTTTTGATGCATTTCGTTGCCCGTCGTATCCTGACTAATATCGGGCGCAGCATAGTAGTGGTAGTAATGATTGGCGGTTCGATAGAACTGTGCGGAAGAGCGCTGCGACACCAACAAACTCCCCCTACATATTTAAAACACCACGGCGAGCTTAGATCGTTTAGATTTCCTAGTACTACAGTAGCAAGCCGAACAAACTGGTAAGCGCCTTCAGCCGGGCTGATCAATTACATTAGCTTGGCATTTTTCATGTATTCCCGAGTTTCCCCGCTCATTTGACTCTTAGAGGCCCTCATGTCGTTTGCGACACCACCAACAGCTTGCCTACACGTGGCCGCGGGTGAGGTTGGAGGTGTCCACTACCGACGTAGGTGGAGCTGCAGCAGTGTGCGCCTCCGGGAGTAAGGCAGCCAAGCAAACCGCAACAAATACAAATACCAAGACTGGCTGACGCTGCCTTGTTGCTACTACAAAACAGTTCATTTCATGGCTTTGGTAAGATCCCATAATGTATTGAATGTCTACTCCCTCGCGTCCTCCGACAACGCCTCGGTGCGGAGCATGTGTGCGCGCTCGTCGTGCATTGTTTCGCTCGGAGGCGTCCTCAGAGGACACGACAGGGTTCGTGGGCCGCACTACCGGAGGAAGAGGGGCTCTATTTGGTTATGCATTAACTAGAATTCACTTTAAAGCCCTGAACGTTTTGTTTGTCAAGTTGGGCTAATGGTTCGGGTGCATTTATTTCTTAACCATTCTCAAATAAGCGTGTACATTGTAGTTGGCAGTAGGGCCGCACTACCGACTACATGTTCGTGCTTGTGAGCGCCTTATTTCGTGGGCTCGACTTTAGGTGGCACGAGCAATTCAAAAACGGCAAAGCGGTTGTCCTCGGGTTCCTACATGCTCAACGGAGGAACGCACGCAACGACACTACCCTCTTTCGTGCAGAAAGTTTTGGCCAATCGCATGGTGCAAATTGTTGTCCGACAAACTGTCTTACGTTTTGACAGACAAAATACAATGTAATCACTGGTATACTAAAACCAAGATGTAGCCAAAGTGCGTTGATTGCAAAACGTAAGTCACTTTGTCTTACGGTAGGCTCTCTGGGGCTAAGTATCGTCTTACGAAAGAGCATGAATCGCGCGTGAGAGGCTGGGAATATTTTTGCAGCATATGGATATAGGATCAGGTCGTAGGATCTCAAGGAGAATGCGTTTGTCACTACAGATTGTAAGGATAAACCGTGCAATCTACAAACTTCAACATGGATACGAAGAGATGTTTGGGCGGGTCCAAATTTAGGATCTACTCTAATTTGGAATCCACTCATATGAGCCTCCCTAAAAATGCGCGAATCCAAAATGGCAAACGTGAATCTAGTTTTTGGCTCACCGGCAGATTAGGCCCAGTTTTTAGAACATTCAAATTCTAGAAACGGGGCAGATATTATTGTGTTTGTATTTCGAACCCCATTGTGTTGCATTTATGTTGACACCCACTCGCCCACCAGCCCCGGCGCTACTTCTGTTTTGTATGCCTTGCGATCAGGGCTGATTTGAATATGTTTGTTCGGCACTAAAAATCTATTTTTCCGCGCTCAACCAGAGGCGCTGTTGTCATCGGTTTCCCCAGATAAAGCTCGGAACTACCTACCAAGATCCAGGGCAGTAGCAGGCAGTGGCGGGGCCACATCAAAAGTGTCGGTAACTACCTTTTTTGCAAGTCTCCGTTCTAGATTTAGACCGTTCTAAAAATGGGCTCGTTTTGCCGGTGAGCTAGTGTTTCATCAAGCTGCGTTACCATTTACGAACTCAGCCAGAAAGAGGTTGAAGACGACTGATTCAGGCAGCCTGGCGACACACGAATGTAACGGAGCCGATGCTGCGCTCGATGGGGCGAGCAACTGTAACATCTACAGTAGCACCCTACAGGTAGAAGTTTAACACCAGCACACACTAGTGAAGAGATGGTACCAGTGAATGTGTGCACCACTTTGAACGCGTATGCCGTCTCGATGTTCAACAATGGTAGGTCAGTTACCTCGAGTTTTAAAATGGAGACTATCTTGCAGTGCTCAGCGTTGCTGTTATTTAAAGGCGTCTGCGACTGCAGCCGCAGCTCGAACAAATGCGTCGTTTGACCACCGCCCTCACCACTCTCATGACAGTTTCATCTTCAAAATGCTGCTGATGAAAGTTTTGCTAGCACCAAACAGGCGGATACGCTTTGGATTCTATTGGCTCGAGGCACTCGTCCTTTGCGTTCGCAACGCGATGCCCTTGACTGAGTCAAGTCAAGTCGAGTTCGTAAATGGTAACGCAGCTTGATGAAACACTAGATTCACGTTTGCCATTTTGGATTCGCGCATTTTTAGGGAGGCTCATATGAGTGGATTCCAAATTAGAGTAGATCCTAAATTTGGACCCGCCCAAACATCTCTTCGTATCCATGTTGAAGTTTGTAGATAGCACGGTTTATCCTTACAATCTGTAGTGACAAACGCATTCTCCTTGAGATCCTACGACCTGATCCTATATCCATATGCTGCAAAACTATTCCCAGCCTCTCACGCGCGATTTCTTCGGGCCTGAACGAGCCACCCGGCTTGCGCTGGACTCGCCGGCCCACGCACCACTTGATCGCTCCGTGGCGGCGGCAGCCCCTCGTAACTTACGAGTCATAAGCGCTCGCACACCCAGCGGCCGTAGCTGATTTTTTTGCCTCCATTCGACGCCGCCGCCTATCGTCGGCAATCCAAAACGCTTCTGCTGCATTTCCACCACTCATCCGCGATGAGTGCGCCTCCAAAAACCGAAGTGCCCCTGGCGCTGAACACCGTCCCGAGCCCCGCCGCAGAGAGCAAGCAGAGCGAAGCAGAGTAGAGCGTGCTTCGCGGCAAAGGTTTATCTGGCCTTGACTCACGATCAACAGCTGGCTGGCTGCTCACCGCGCTTTGGCCCTGCTCAACAAGATACGCGCGGGTCGCTCGCTCACTTAAGCACCTCCTCCCGACACGCTGCGCTGCCCTCGGTGATGACCCGGATGTAACCGGGCGCCAATGGTAGAGTGTAGCCCAGACGAACGCGACTGCGTCTGTCGCCTTTGTGTGGACTGGGCGGCCGTTTGTTGTTGCGGCGGTTTCTGGTGCACGCTGCAGTGCTTATCTGGGACGGCCAGCCACGCCCACGCCCGCGCTAAGTTTTGCCTGCAGGTGGGAGTACCTGTCGTGCTCGCTCTACGTACGTCTGTGTGGATGTATGATTGCCTCGCGACGTCGAGCTCTTCTAAACCCCGCTCGTGCAGAGAGCGAGGGAACCGCCGCGCCGGTCCAGCCCGCGTCAAGCCTGCTGTTAACCCGCGCAGAACCTTCGCCGCCCTGAACCACCGTGATCTCGGCCATAGCCATATATGCGCCTACAGCTCCCTCACAATAGCCCCCACTCCACAGCACGCTGGGCTGCCTGCCGTTCGCGCACTCGGTTGCGGTGCTGCTGCCGCTGCTCTTATCTCGACCAAGACAGCAACGGCAACGGCAACGGCAACGGCCGCGCGTTTCCTCTGGTCGCAAGCGACTCTGGAAATAGAATTCCAAATCACTCGGCGCCCATCTCCGCAAAAAGAAGGCCGTGGAAGCTTGCAGCTAACGAAACTCCAGACGGGCGATCCTAAACTTTTTGGCCTTACAAAGCCCCTGCTTTTGTTAGGCCCATTCTGCAACCAGCCGCGCCCGCCCCAGATCTCTCTCGATGGCGACGCCCTCGCTGCGCCGCGACCAGCCCGCGCTGCGCCTGCCGCCACCTCCCACCGCCATGGCCTTCGCCGCCTCGCCCTCGCCGCACCAGCACTGGCGAGTCGCCGGGCAGCAGGTGTCCAGATTTAGAAGCGTTCCAGATGCCGACGTGTTCCCGCCCCCTCCTCCTGGTGCTGTTGCTGCTGCCCCAGTGCTGCCGAGGATCGCGTCACTGCTGAGCAGCAGCGCCACTCGAGAGCCCAGGAGACCGGAGGAGAGCCAAGTCGCCCTCTCTCGCAAGCGGAAACTGCCCAACGAGGAGCTGCGAGGGGTGCGAGAGCAGTCGCCACGTGCAGCTGCAGCTGCGAGTGCAGGTCTGCAGCTCTACGCTACGTCAAGGACAAGTAACAACGCGGCCCCCAGGACGACAGTGTTTAGCCACCAGCCGCAGCCGCAGGGCGAGAGGATCCGCCGCCTCGCGTCTTCGTCGCCTCCTTCCTCCGACTGGGAGAGTCGCTACGCCAGCGTGTCCAGCCGAATTCCGGCGGTAGCCAGCGCCATGCGTCAAGCTGTGTACAGGGAGTTCGGGCCCAGAGCCGTCGGTGCTTCGTTGGCTGCAAGGCAACAGCATCAACAAGAGGAGGAGGAGGAGGAAGGAGACGAGGAGCATGAAGCGGCGGCTGTGCTCGTGTCGTCGTCGTCCTCCTCCTCAGAGCCTCGGAGCCGCGTGCCGACGTCGGCGGAGATTTCCAGCCGCTACTTGGCCCGCGATCCTCTCAGGGGGCGGACGCCCACCCAGAGCGACTCCGCAGAGCGTCGCCGCCTGTACTACCACCACAGCATCGACCCGCACAAGATCCACGAGATCCACGTCCCGGCCGAGATCCCAGTGGTGACGCGCTACCATGACGATCTGCCCAACAGCAGGAGGCACAGGATGGCCAGCAGGTACCACCACCTCCACCACCGCGAGGTGTCTCCGCCCCGCGCTCGCCCGCTCTACTACGACCGCGCAGAGGCGGAGGAGATGATGCACGTGATGGCCCAGAAGCGGCGTCGAGTGTCGCCCTCTGCTGCCGCTCCCAGTCCCTCAGCTCAGCCCCGCCAGCCGCTGTACGAGTCGCAGCACGGACTCGCAGTCCTCGAGACGTCGAAACCCCTCATGCGTCCACGCTACGTCGCTAGCAGGGACAACTCTGCAGTGGAGAGCGCGTCTCGACGGCGCTACGTCCGCGGTAGTGGCTCAATGGACTTGGAGCAGGTGGACTCGCCTCTCTCTGCTGGCTCAAGGATCAGCTACAACAGCAGCAGCGGTAGTGAGGGCCTCGTGAGGACGAGCGTCGCTGAATCAAGCCCATCTCCATCCCCAAGAGGCCTCGTTGTTAACACGGAGAAGACCGCTGTCGAGCACACGCCCCTCACGACGCTCGTGCTCAAGTCCAAGGAGTTCCTCAAGTCCAAGAGCCTCGTACGCAACCGCCACGACGAGATCGACTGGGTCGCGACGTTCTTGAAAGTGGGCTTCGACTCATCCAGCATCTACGCGCTCATGTGTCCGCTGCGCAAGGGCCGCTGGAAGTCGGAGGAGGAAAAATACACGATGGGGCTGCTACGGCTCATCGAAAACGGCACGATCCTCCTGCGCCACGGCCAGAGCATCCGCGGCTACATCGGCGAGAAGCTGCACAGCGACGACATGCGCGTGCTCAAGAAGCTGAGCAACTGCAAGATGTTTCACTTCGCCAAGCTCATCAACCCGCGGCTCGCGCAGGAGGAGAAGATCGACATGACGGTGGCAGGGGCTCGGGAAGGCATGGAGCGGCTGGACCAGCTCAAGGGCGAGTTCCTGCGCTCCGTGCAGCTGGAAGCGCTCGTGGCTGTTCGCAAGTACCTCAGTGACAGCTCTCTGCGCGATCTACTCAACGTGCGCGCGTAAGCCCCCTGTTAGTTGCTAGGAGTTGTGGCGGTGGTCGTAGTAGTTTTCGTGTATTCTAAAGCGTAACGAAATGAGTTGCGAGGTTGTCTTTCTTTCACTTTCTGTTCCGATGGTTCGAGCTCGAGTGACTTTGCCAATCGTTCACTGACGGTGATAGTGCAACGTGAACGAGGGTGTCTACGTAGTGTCCACCGCGTCGACCTCCTCTTCTCATGCAGTACCATTGCCAAGCCATACATTAATAGCTCAAGGCTAACTACCGACGATTTTAGCTCTATCTCTAGCTGGAGCGCTCGCTTGTTGCTGCATTCGCACAGCTTCAACTCTTGTGTCAAGATGAAGCGCGCCGTTGAGGGCCACGCCGATGCCATTCCCACGCACAAGTCCACCTTCACGCTCCAGATCGACGCCGCAGTGGAAAGTGGCGCCTTCGAGGCTCCAGGCTTTCGCTTTCGTTTCCTGGATGGAACTAGGAAGCAGACCTCCGCCATCGGCTCTGGCTCCGGGTGGACCCCAGTGCATGACAGCGATCCGTTTGAGACTTCACCAGCCTCACCAGCGCGTTTCCGCTTCGAGCAGAGCTTCCCCGACGTTGCGATCTCCGAGGCCTTCGCGATGGCCCTCGACGACGACCCCGTCTTGTCCTTCTTCCTGTTCGATCACCCGGGGCTGGCAGGAGGTGGAGCCACACCACGCGGACAGGGCAAAGAGGCCAAGCCTTCAACGGGGAAAGCCCACGCAGCAGCAGCCGCAGCCCCAGTTGCTCCTCTGGCAGTCGAGTTCGCACCCAAAGCCTTCGCTGGGCTGTACGAGATGGACGTCAGCAGTTTACTGGCAGGAGCTCTTCACGTGAAGCAAGTGTGGGCTCTCTCGCCCAGCGCAGAGCAGGCGACGGGCGCTGAAGACCTCGGAGGCAACGTGTTCTGGTCGAAGCTTGCTCCGAGCGAGATCCAGCCACCGGCCCAGAGCCTCTGCGTGATGCCATCGGCCTCTGGTCTGACGTATCTCTCCATCCAGGTCACTGTCGACCGCCCCGTGCTAGCTGGTGAGCTCCTGAAAAGGCTCAACCCGCTCACGATCACCATCGGAACGGCTCGTCGACTGCCTGGAGCTGTGAGCCAGGGAATCGGAACGGCGTCACCTCACTTGGCCCTCCAACGCTACTGCAAGCCAGCGTTCGCACTGATCCACTTCTTCCCCGACCAACTGCAGTCGTCGTCCAGTCTAGCGGCGAATACACCGCAATCTCACTCAGTCCACCGCCTGCTGCTGACTCCAGGGCAGCGCCAGGTAAATACCAAGATATCGACCACTTTATGAATGACGGCAACAACTAACCATTCATGGCATGTCGTTGATGAGCAGAGCGAGACGGTCCGGTGGAACGCGAGTGTTACGCTGCTTTGCGGGCGCTTCGACTCCTTGGAGCTGGTTGATGCGATTCGGTTCGGCGCGCTGACCGTGGAGATCCGGGATCGAGACTTAAGGCAGGAGGAGACGCTGGCTCGGTTCCAACTGAAGTGGGAGAGTTTGTACACGACGGGGCTCGATCCTGGCCTAGCACAACAAGACCCACCGTCGTCCATCTTGTCATCTCGTAGCGACTCAAACCAGCCTCTCACTCCTACCACCACGTCAGCTCCTGCAGCCAAGCCGATGGAGCTTTCAGTCGTCGACGATATCGCCCGTAGCGACTGGCGGCAGATGCTGGCAAACTCGGATCGTCTCTTTCCGTTCGGCCTGGCAAGATTCCGACTCGTGGAGCTTCTCAACACTGCGAAACAGAGCATGGGCGGCATGAGAGCCGACAGTGACAAGCCGTACATGGGGCTGAAGCTCACGACAGACATCATCGCTATGAAGCGGCGTGCGAGTCCTCTCGGCACAGCAACCTTAAGCGAGGAGAGTGAGCTCCCAGCGACTGTCGACTTGTCCCCACTGGAAAAAGTAATCCGCGAGCCAGGAGCGTACGTGACCACCGGCGCCTCACTCAGCATCCGACTCGTTCTGCAATCTCCGACCGAGGTGGTGAGCTCAGCAACTCCAGAGGATTTAACCGCACGCGTGGACAGTGAGCCCCCAGCCTCACTAGACGAACAAAAGCCGCCCAGTTCACTTAAATTCTCCAGGATCGTTGTGATCATTCCGTACAAGGACAAGGTGACTCTGGGGGAAATCACCAAAGCCATGACTACAGTCAACTTGAAGGCGCTGCCTGGGGTCCCGGTTCGCTCGTACCAAATGACAGAAGCCGAGAAAATGGACTGCGAAACAGGCACATTGGACGTGATCACGGGCACCCAGATCATCGACAGTCAGTTCCGCATGATCATCCTGGAAGGTCTGGCCGACCAAGGCATGAAGTTCTTGCACGAGCAGCTCCAGCGGAAAGGGCCGAACGACCCCCAAGGCTATCGGATGTTCAGCAACGACCAGCTCCGCTTCACGCGGCGGCTGTACACTGTGTTCGAGATCGACGTGAAGCGGATCAAGCTCCGGTATCCGCTCCCTCTTCTGATGACAACGCCCGACATCTACATGCGAACCAAAGTGTCCGAGAACTGTCACCAGGCTCTCGCTCGACTGGCGGATATGCGGAAAGTCCAGCGTCTGATTGAGGTGAAGCACCTGGATCTCTTCCCCACGGCGCAAATGCTGCTGGAAGTGGAGAGCAAGTATGGTGAGAGTATCACGCTGGAAGACATCCACGGCTCAAGCGACACCAAATCCAGCGTGTCCTCCAAATCCGAGGTCAACAACAACGTCGGAGAGCAGCAGACTAAGGCGAAAGACGGTGAGCACACTGTCGGCTCCACAAGACACCGCAGCAGTCGGCTTAAAGCGCCGACGGACTCAACGAATGCGAGCTTCGAGCAGTCCCGTCGGAGTCGCGTTGAGAAAAACTTCCTCCTCGAGCGGAAGAACCAAAGCGACCAGGTGAAGGCCGAGTACACCGAAAAGAAGCAGATCGCTGAGATGCTGGAGGACAAGTCGCAACTTCCCGTTTATCTGTACAGCGGCCAGAAGCTTCGGGTGAGCGTGTTAGAACTTGTGTGTGAAACTCGACGCTTGTGTCTAACACTTGTTTGGTTCTTGCTTGGCATGGCAGACCCAGGACCTCCTCCAGGAGAAGCAGCGCGAGAGATTGTCCAAGGACCGCCATGCCACTTACACGTACAGTCGTGAATTCCAGTCGCTTGCACTCAGCATGGTCAACCCGGAGGCACTGCGGCAGACGGAAGAGCAGGAAGATCGCAAGAAATGGACCACGCAGCGCGGCTTCATCTACCCGGCGCCTCGCCAACCAGCAGAGTACTACAAACACGCAAATGCTCCGAGTGAAGCTCGATGCGAAGACCTCCGTCAGCCATTCGTCGACAACGTCAACCACCCGAAGCCTGTATCGCGAGACTCCGGCGAGCCTGGAAGCCGGAAGGGGCCCGAGTTCTCCACCCTCCCGTCCAAGGACATGATATTTGGAGGAACAAACGGGGACGGCTCCGTGAACCCCGACTACTTCCGCAGTGTGCATCTGTGCGGCGAGGGGCTTCGTCTGGAGATGGAGGAGGCCCTCAAGAAGGAGCAGGGCGAGTGGGAACGCCGCCTTGTCGTCGACAAGAAGCAGCTCAAGTTCCTCGCACACGGGAACATCTGCAGTCTGCCCCGAGAAAAACCGTCTCAGCTGGACAAGATCTCCGATATCCTAAAGGGCCCCGCGCAGTCGAAGCCCATCCGGATCGTCAAGAATGCGACGCTGCCGAGCGGAAAGCGGGTCCCACTGGAGAAGGCACCCGTGACTATTCACAACCAGGAAGAGTACGCGGGCTGCGTAGCTGCCACATTCGCGAGCACATTGCGGCCATCTGACAGCAACCAGTTTGTGGCGACAGACGCCACGTCGGGGCAACCCAAAGACTTCTTCCCATCAACGACAAATATTTTGACGCCGCCAGTGAAGAAATTCATCACCCGGAAGGAAATCACTCCAGTGCGCGAGACGGAGAAGAGAGGGCTCGTCTGGAGGAACGAGTACTAAGTAGTGTAGCAGCGTAGCGAAATAGAGCAGCGCCTAACTATCAATCTGACGCAATGCTTCCCCCAGTAATGCGATCCGTTCGAGAAGCATCTGCACGATCTGATCATCTTCTTCCCCCGGTACCTCGCTATCCTCCACGCCTTCGTCATCTAGATCGAGCTGTGAGTTGCTGCCGGATGGTTCCTTGACGGTATCTGAAGCCACTGGCAGCTGAGGTATTTCCTCAGCGTTTACTGCTGTTGGAGGGCCCTGAATGCTGGTAGTTAAATCGGCGACTCCACTGCTTCCTTTCGCGTCGTCTGAGCGGCTCCCACTAGGCCCAATCGGAGAACTAGCCGCACTAAGTGGATTATCACTTGGTTCCTTGGTGCTCGCGCCGTCCTCCTCGTGCTTATCATCAACTGTCGCCGTCTCTTGTTGTTCACTTGAAGGATCGGAGAAAAAGTCATGTTCCCAGGAATGCACCACCAAGCTGACGAGGCTGTCGAGCGTCTTAGCTGTCTCGGCTGGAATGTGTTTATCTTGCCCGCGAGTGGAGGCACTGGAGTCGTGAGAAAGCCCAGGGAGGCTAGCATGTGACGAGGGCGACTTTAGATCCAAAGCTGGCTCAGGACGTGCAGGACTTGCTGTCTGGAGCAGTGGGAGCTCGGGCACTTGATCCGTCGAGCAGTGTTCCTGCGGCTGGAACGGCCTGCTCTGTTCTTCCTTAGCCGCGCATTTGTCCGAGAAGCTCAACTCGTCAGAATGATGAGCCATGGCCTGATCGTTTACTGCACCAGTATCGCTGTATTCTGCGGGTACAGCAGTGTCATTGCAGCGCTCCTGATCAGGCTCGGGCTCATGCCCCCGTGAAACGTGTGAGCCAACTGATGACCCGCTGGATCGCAGTCCTTTGTCCGTAAAATCCAACGAAGAAACTCCCGTTTGAAAACTCTTTGCGTCACCTCCTTCAGCCGAGCTCACGCTTTCCCTACTCACATTCAATGTTTCTTCGCTTCGGACCACCGGCGATTGCCAGTCTTCCTCCACTTTTTCCTCTCGCATCCCAGGCTCACGATCATCGGCACTCCGGACCGGCGACGACTTCACCTCGTCGCCGTTAAAGTCACGCTGTTGCTCCGTCGATCCCCAGCTAGACGTCGACCTCGCACCAAAACCCTCCAATGGACCGCCTCTTCTGTACGAACCTGGCGATAACGGAGGTTTCCTCCCCAGCTGCCTCCTTGGCTCCTCTCCCTTATCTATCGACAGCCGAAAGTCGATCAGCTTCAGCCCAGATGTAGAAGCAGCAGCCCCTGATGTTGTCGTCGACCCCCACCCGAGACGCCTGCGCACCCTCTCTATCACCTCCTCCGGGTCTTCTCGTTCTACCTCTTCCACCTCTCCGACCTCGTCCAAATCTACCGACCCCCACTCAACGGAGCCCCACGACTGTAGAACCTCTGCTGGCTCTGCCCCAGTCAGGACCTCGCCCTCTCGACTGGAATCGCTGCCCCAGACGCGCAATCGACGGCGCAACTTGCTCTCAACACTGTCGACGCTGCTGTCATTGCCCTCCCCCTCTTGAGGAATTTGAAATTCCTTCTCTTCGACCTCCTCGGTAGTCGTTTTCTCATCTATTGGTTCTTCTTCTTCTTCTTCTTCTTCTTCTTCTTGCTCGTCTTCGTCTGGGAAGGAGAAGACGTCGCCCGACGCCCACGTGGACGGACTGGGCGGCGGACTGCGCGCGTACCGAGGCGACTTGGTCCACCAGAAGTCGCCGCGTTGGGCCGCCACGCGCGCCTCTCGCGGCTGCGGCTTCTCGTAGCGGAAGCGCGCGATGTACTTGCCGATGGTCGTCGCCCGCAGCGCCGGCGGAGGCGACAGCGGAGGCGGCGGGGGCGGCGCCGCGTCCTCTGCCATGACTTTCTGATCTCAATTTTGCGAAACAAAATGCCCAAATGGGTGGGTCGTCTATGACATAAAACTCTTTTTAAGACTCTACTGAGATGAAAAGGGATTATGTCAGTTCAGACTCGGACACGTGCAGTCGATAGGTCTATCGACGCTTCCTTGTTCGAGGTCGTTTACTTGAGAAATCAACTTGGCAGGAGTGAATTCGTGTTCTAAAGAGAGTAAGGAGTTGCGAGCCGATCCGCAACAATCTCTCTATGGTAGCACTCGCCCTTCACGATCGACTGAATCCAGTCAAGGCCGACTGGAAGACGCGAGTAGTAGCTAGGGTATCCGGCCTTCTTGCAGTCAGCGCCCCAGCTAACCGAGCCAACCAAAACGTCGCCTTCAGGACGCTCCACGATGAGGGGACCGCCGTAGTCCCCCGTACACGAGGGCTCATTGCCCACGGCACGTGAACACATCAAGGTGTCGTCCACGAACGTCTGCTTGGAGCATTCTTCGTTGCTAATGAGCTGCACGTCCGCACGCTGCAGTTCGTGGGCGTGCTGGTCCGCCCCTCCAGTGTTGTACCAGCCCAGCTTGGTCACCGTCTCGCCCACCTTGATGTCCGATCCGTCCGCCGCACCGAGTGCGATGGGCTTGAAGGAGCTGGGCTTCTGCAGCTCCAGCACCACGTAGTCGTACGAGTATTGCGAGCTCTCGGAGTTGTTGGGGTGGCTGAGGATCCCCACGACCTTGATCTGCTCCCCATCTTCCGTGCCGTTATTGTAGTGCGAGCCGATCGACGCGTAGCGAATGTTGCCGCCAACGCAGGCGCCGCCCGTGAGGAGATGCTTGGGGGTAATGAGCGTAGCAGCGCAGAAGTTGTTGTGGGTCGCGTTCACTCGGAGACTAGCGACGTACGTCTTGGTGCCGATCGGGACTGTGCTGTTAGCGGGCTGCAATGACGTTCCGATGGTGCCGCTCGAGATGTTGCTTGGGATGAGGTCGCTGACTGAGACGTTGCTATAGCTGGATCCATCTTGGGCACCAGTGGGCAGCGAGCCGAAGACCAGCGCGACTGAGGCAACAGCGAAGACGGCAGACACGAGCTTCATGGCGAACAGTGCGGAGTTGGTTGAAAGGCAGGAAAAGCTCGAATGGATCAAGCAAGTACATAGTACAAGTACGGTACACGTCTGTGCATGATTCGATGTGGGCTGTGCAGACAGTGAAGCCAGGGATTTGGGCGCAGAAGAAGGCAATCACGCCCGATTTTCTACGATAACGTTTCTCTTGATTGCATGTTGTGACATGATTTGTCTTTATTGGAGGGACTCATGCCTTGGCGTTCGCTTCTCTTCGTGTTTCCCCTTACCATTATACAAATTGCCGGTGTTGCATGTGTCGTGAATCCGTTCGCGAAGAGTAGGCGCTCAAACGCCCCCAAATTATCTGACGTCGAAGTTCGACTCGAACCTTATCATTGGTGGCAGGCAGCAAGAGGCAGCGTTGCATTTTATTGTGTTTGTTGATCTTCAAAGCGTAACCGAGATCTTTCATCTTTCATATGGTGCACCAACGGAGGCATTGCTGGTCGATTTGTGCATTTGGCATCCAGGTTGTCACACTGCACTGCAGGATTGGCAACAATTCGTTGGCAATCCTCCTCATACAAAATCGAGAATGTGCAGATTTGCAAGTCATTGGTACGCAGTGACTTCTCCCCATCACGCTTTCTATCTCAAGACTTGTATTACTGCACCGTAGCGCTCTCTGCTGCATCAATTCACAGAGCCACTACAGATTCTACCGTGGGCTCCACAGCCACCGCCGTTTTTTTGCTTTTGCCATGATTAAGTCGACCGCAGTCTCCACCCTCGCGTTGGTCTGTGCCGCCTCCGCCGTTAGCGCCTACCAAGGACACGTTGAACGCGAGCTTATCCTCAGCGGTGAAGTTGTCCCCGCCGGAACCAAGACGTACGTCGCCGGCCTACGCATCAAGAGGGACTCAGACAGCTTGTGCGGTGGCACCCTCATCACCCCCACCCACGTCCTCACCGCCTCACATTGCGCGGCCTACGGATTCCACTGGGCCTCGATCGGAGAGCACTATCGGAATGGCACGGAAATCGGCGAGCAGATCAAGATCGTGTCGCTGATGAATCACCCAAACTACTCCGAGCTCGTCCGGAACGCAGACGACTTCATGGTCGTGGAGCTCGAGAGACCCAGCAAGTTCAAACCGGTCAAGCTCGCCGCGGCCGACGACTCGGACTTCAAACCGGGGAGGATGGCCACGACGATGGGATGGGGAACGAAAGCGGAGACGGGCGAGAACTTCTCGTACGAGCTGCAGCGCGTGGACGTCCCGTTGGCGAGCGATCAAGCGTGCGCAGCCTACGAGACGGTGGACTCGAGTATGGTGTGCGCTGGTGGCGAGGCAAACCGCGACTCGTGTCAGGGCGACTCGGGTGGCCCGCTCATTGTCGAGTCGGCTGAGGGTGACGATGTGCTGGTTGGCGTTGTGAGCTGGGCGAAGGACGATACATGCGGCAGGGCGGGCTACTACGGCATCTACTCTCGAGTGTCAAGTGCACGGGCGTGGATTGAGACCATCACGGGCGGTAGCGGCACTTGTCTTCCGTGATGCCAACCACTTATGAAAGCATCACCGATAAACAATACAACGTTCCGAGCTGATCTCAATTTTTTGCGATCGCTGTTCATTTTTTCCATGACAAGAAAGTTGGTGTGGAAAAGATGCATGGGATGGTTATTCTATATTCGGGATGGAAGTCATTGGTGTTGAAAAGATGCATTGGACCGATTTGCTATATACGGTGCGCACCGTGCGCACCGTGCGGTACGATACCGAGCATACCGCACCTATATGCAGGGGGGGGGGTGTTCCAAAAAGGACACCTTTTTCGTACTTTGTGGGGTGTCCCTGTGTCAAGTCTGAGCCAAATTGCCTTGGCGCCGGGTGTGACTTAGCCGGGGCCATGCCTTCTGTCACCGGTTCTCCCACCGGTTGGCCCTGAGAGTCTCAAGCTACGTCAAGCTGGACGAGACCAAGGCGCGTGAACCTCGGACTGAAGAAGCTCATCCAGGGAGCTGAGCTCGCAGATGAACTGGTCAAGCTGGAGAAAGCCAGAGGAGATCAACACGATGCTGCAGTCTCTCCAGGTTTCGTCCGCAGAGGCGACCAAGTCGCTCAGATCAAGGCGATATGTGAGGAAGACGCGGCTCGTATCTCGGCTGAGAAGGAGCTGTGCGAGCACCATGTTTGGCGGTGTGATGATCCTGTTCAAGCTGCCGCTGATCCCGGTGAAGCAGGTGAAGCTGAACGTGGCCAAGCAGGAGATCGACTACTTAGAGACGTCCTTCTCGCCCTACGCCCAATCGATGATGAGCGACTCCGACTTCCTCAAGAACGTGCAGAACTTCGGAGCAAGGATATGAACAACGAAGAGACTATCGAGCTGCTGACTCCGTTTCTGGAGCTCCAGGGGTTCCAGCAGAGTGTGATGAAGAACGCCTCGCTGGCAGCCGAAGTGTTGTTGCTCTGGTCGTGGCGGGTGTCGAAGAGGACATTGATCCGATGCTGGACCCGGTGCTGGAGAAGCAAATCATCGTCAAAGGTAAGAGCATGCTGATCAACGTATCGGACAAGAACATGGAGTTTAACCCGGCCTTCTCCATGCACTTCATGCTACAGGCCAAGACCACCGTGATCTACGCAGCCTACTTCTTCCAGCCGTGCGAGGGAAATAAATTACGTGCGACGCAAGTTTATTGGTTGAAAGCCTGCCCATCCCAAATAAGTTTTGGCACAAGACTAGTGTACACTAAACCAAATATGTATGCACCGCTCTTGTAAAAGTATTGGTACAATCTCTTGTGTACAGTTTCCCTTAATTGTATAGTACGTGATGAGGCTGACACCCAGAGTACAATTGAGGACGACAGTGCAATTGAGGACGACAGTACAATTGAGGACGACACCTAGAGTACAATTGAGGACGACCGATTCAAGTGTAGCTACGCCGTCTCAACAGTATAACCTTCATTTCAGCTTTTCTGTCGGAACCGGCAAGTCGTCAAGTCGCGCCCATGGATCTCCCAACAACCAGTCCGCTCTATAACGCTGCTATCGCCGCTGCCAAGTTCGCAGATCAGCGCTTAGAAGCCCGGACACCGACTGACTACAACGGTAGTCTTCAGCGATTCGCAAAGTTCTGCCAAAGCCAAGGTTATCCAGACCTGCTGAAGCATCGGTTTGTGGAGCTACCAGGCGTTATAGCAGCCTACATCAACGAGCTCGCGACTGCAAACACAAGCCAATGGCCCGCCGAGAAGCTTCGCGCAGCGCTCTGTTGGCACTACACCAAGCCGGAAATGCTTGCGGGTGGTCATTCCCACGATCGCTGGGTAATTGATACAGCTCAGGACGGAGCACTTGTTCCCCGCGGAAACCCAGCTCGATCAGCCGCCATCACCCAAATCCTAGCTAGGCTCAGCAAGTCTAAGAAGCGTGAAAGGACACCCAAGCGTGCGTCTCCGATGTCGCTGACAATGCTCACGAAGATGATGGCCTTTCTGGAGTCCAACTCAATGTTGAACGAGACTATGAGGATTTGGTTCTCAGCGGTCTGCTCGCTCAGCTTCTATGGAATGTGTCGTATCAACGAAGTTCTGCTCATGAAGAAAGGCGGCATCCAGCTCGGACTGCAACGTAAATCCCGTGCAAACGGCACAGAGATCTGCTTCGGCTGCTTCACCATTCGTGACCGAAAGACAGACCACGACCCACTCGCCAGTCGGACGTATTCGCTGCACCATCTGCCGAAAGAGGAACGAGCTGCCGAGGCGTTGACGAACCTGGAGAGGTGGTTCGCATACGCGCGGACAAAACTACACCATTCATGGCGCGATAGTGACTATGCTTTCCCATCGCTGACGAAGATCCCACGTGGCTGCAGTAAAAAACTAAAGCCCGGTGCGACCGCTTCTACCAAGACTACCTCCTTTGCAAACGTCGGTGTAAAATGGGGATCGCCGATGTCCGACACCAATTTCACGCAGGTGCTGAACATCGTTGCTGAGGCGGCTGGGATCAGCCGGAATTTGCTCGGCGACGAGATCTGGTTCACATCGCACTGTTTCCGGCGCGGGGGTGCCCAGTACAGGTTCATGTTTGCACCAGAGAAGCGCCGATGGTCGTTGAAGTTTGTAAAGTGGTGGGCGGGCTGGGCGCCTAGTGAGAAATCTGAGACAGTTACGAGGTATCTTTTGGACGATGTCCTCGATCGCGACGAAAACCAACTTGGTGACTCGTTGGCGCCCGTGTGGTGTAGGAAACACCAGATTTCGCGCGACCAACTCGGCTGGAGTGGTACACTGTACCGGTAGCTGAGCTCAGCCAAGTTCACCAGCTTATCCGGACACTTTATCCGGCTCAGCCGAGTTCGAAGAATTATCCGGATAGCTTATCCGGACCAGCCGAGCTCAAGCGTCGCCGAGCTCAGCGAAGAGTCGGCCGAGATCCAAAACCGCCCACTTTCATTTGGTATTTGTATAGGAACTTAGGAATAGTGGAGGCGCCCCTTCAGGGCGCCCGATAGAGATAACAAACAACAGAGCAGAATTTTCTAGGTCCACAACACGTGTACACGTTTCGGTAAGTCCCTGCACGGGGCTGGATTATGTCTGCTGCCGGTACCCGAGAGGCATAGCTTGTAGGGTACTCGGCTGGCAGCGCCAAGAGATTAAGGTCGGCCCGGGTTGGGCGCGTGTCTCGCCAAGCGCGAAGGAAAAGTCTCGCCACCGCTGCGAGCCGGTGTTCCCGTACGTCCCGGGCACTGATTGCTGAGTCGAGAAGCCTTTGCTCTCGGCGACCTGTAAAAGCGCTCCGTGCGCGGTCGTCCATCCTTTGGTGGAGGGCACAGGGTTAAGTGAACGGAGGCCGTCGAACTCGGCGGCTCTCCGGAGGGGTGATCTTGGTTGGCAGGTCTCGACGAAAGGCGAGACACCCGCTGTCCCGGTTGGGCCGAACCGCTCGGGGGCAACTTGGCGCAGGCCAACAAAGCCGACCAGCTCGGCTATTGTTGTGTTTGTAACCAAGTTACGACAACTGACGATTGTGTGTGTACTAACTGGTGCCGCGACCCGGGAACAGGGGTGTGCTTGTGTTTCGTAGGTACCAGCTAACCAAGGTTTGAGAAGAAGAGAAGAGAAGAGAGTGTGAAGATGGTCAAGGGAATTGTTACGCCGAGTCCAGCGACGGTTGGAAGTAACTCGGCTGGACTGACCAACTCGGCGGACTCGGCGAATGCGATGATCACGGACGCGACGGTGGGCGAGGCGCGCACCGTCCAGTTCGATGAGGAGGATGCCCAAGACCAAGAAAGTGAGGAAGATGTTGAGGATGAGTATGAGGAGAAAGCCGAGCTACTCGGCGAAGTCGACGAGTTGTCGCTGCAAGTCGGACGAATGGGTACCCCACGTCCAGTTGTGCGCAACCTGGCGGCCGAGCTCGGCAATGATACGGACGACGAAGATCAAGCCGCCGCTCAAGGGGAACGTCCGCCCCTGATCCCGCGAGCGACGAGGAATGCGGATACGCCAAGTGCGAACAAGGTTCTGGGCAGGCTAGGAGAGGAGATGCGAGCTCAGAGCGAGTGGATGATGATGTTTGCCCCAGTGGCGATGGCTCAGGCGAGATGGCCGGTGCTGGGGCCCGAGCTGACTCAGCCGGTGAACAGCACCGACATCAACCAACTGGTCGAAGACACGGTGTTGCTACTCAAGGCGATGGGGTTCCGGTGCACGAGCCGACCCAACAGCCTACTACTCGGCGATTGGGACCCCAGCCGAGCTTCACGCGAAATCCTCAAGTGGAAGCGTCGGTTGAGAGTCTCGTTTGGTCTCGAGCGGGGGGCCGTCGGAACTCGGCAGACTATTGCGAAACGAGTGGCTGATACTCCGAAGACCGTCGAAGACCCCAGCAGGATTCCCCTGCCGAAGACTCCCGAACGCAAGAGAGCCGTGGTGTTCCGCTCGACTGAGGGTACGCCGTATTTCGAAGATTCGCATATGAAGACGCCAACGCGTGGCAAGCAGCCAAGTGGACGCTACGCTGAGTTGTTTGACGCTGCAGACACAGCCGAGCTCAGCGACAGCGACGATGGGCGCGAGTACCTGAACTCGGCTGAAGAGTCGGTGAAGGACGTCATCAAGCACCTTAGCTTCGATGACGCTGAAAGTGATCGGACGCAGTACTTGGAGGTTCGCACCCATGCGTCCCTCGACAAGATCCCTATGTTCGAAGGCAAACGTTACCGACTGGATGACTCTCTCCAGTGGCTTAAGCGGTTCATCTACGAGATGAAGGGAACTCGGCTGGCGCAAGACCTCTGGTATGAGCCATTCTCGCTGAAGCTGGAGCGAGGCGCGAAGAGCTGGTATCGCCAGCTCCCGAAGAAGACGCAATGGAAGTGGAGTCTGCTGAGCGAGGCATTTGCCGACTACTACTGTTCGCAGTTTGACCAGTCGGCACGAGCTCACTATTACTCGGCTCAGCGCAAGGACAACGAGCTGGTGTGTGACTTCCTCATTCGTCTCAACGGATATGCGAAGCCGGCGAAAATCCAGTACGAAGCCGGTGGAGCGGATGCTGCTGACCATGTGGAACACTTCCCGTTGCACTGCGGAGATGATGACGTCATGGATCTGCTCTATCCGCAACAGCTCACCGACATCAAGAAGGTCGAGAAGATCATCAACCAGAAGATCCTGGGGGAGCGCCGGAAGAAACAGCGCGACCGTCTCATCGGAAGCCGCAACCGAGATGCCAAGCGCACCGATTCGCCAAGGCACTCGGAAGCTCGGCGGAGTGAGCCGCGCCGAGATGACCGCCGAGATGACCGGCGAAGCCGACGCGACGATGGTCGAGACCGCCGACTAGCGACAGCGCTGCTGGAGGACGACCCGTATGAGCTGGCTGAGAGACGCCAATCCAATCGGCGATCCAACCTCTACGACTCGGACAGCGATCAGAGCGACGGCAGCCAGCCGAGCTACTCCGACTCGGCTGTAGACTCGGAAGACGATTACATCGACACCGGGTTCACCAGCGACCGCGACCGTAGATCAGGGGGCCGAGGGAACTCAGCTGGGACACCAAGGAGTGATCACCGCAGGGGTCAGCCGAGCTCGGCTGACCGCGCCAGTCGAGGATACGATCGGCGTGACCAGACTGGGCGGCGCAGTGACTCCCGTGAACGCCCCTCGTATGGACCTTGTGCTGCCTGCGGTGGTGCGAACCACTCCGTTCACTACTGCCGCCGTCGCTGCAAGTTCTGCAAGCAATTGCACGATGTCGGTCAATGCGAGCTGTTCCAGCGCTATGAGAAGCTCGCCACATTTGTCAAGTCCAATGTTGACAAGTCCAAGTTACCTGAAGACCTCCAGGACCTCTACACGCCGAGTGATTTAAACTCGGCGGCCCGCCAACACTGACCGGGTTGGATGATACCGGGCTGCTACAGTCAGCCGAGCCGGCAGTACAGGCGAACTTTGTGTTTGCCTTTGTGGGTGAGGCAGGAAGGCCCGAGGACCGAGAAGACGACGTATTGGATTGTGAAAGCGATGGATTTGATTGTGAGCTCGGCGAGAGTGGAGAAGAAAGCCGAGCGAGATTGTGCAGTGCAGTTGCGACTCAGCGATCGACGGATGTGACCACAGCCACCAGAGTTATGAAGCTGCTCCCTGGGGAGCGACTCCGCTGGTGGTCGTCACAAAAGTTTGACCGCCGAGTTCGGATGAGAGCTCTCATAATGGGAGCGGTGAATGACCAGCGTACGAAGATATTGCTTGACACCGGCGCGAATGTGTCGGCAGTAAGCGAAGGGTTCGCGAAGAGGCTGCGGTTAAAGCGGTTCACACGCCAGGATCAACAGATTGGCGTTCAAGGTATTGGGAAAGGCAAAGTGGCGACGATGTCACGAGCGATGGTGAAGGTGACACTTGGCTGGGAGGTCACGTATGAATTTGAAGTATGGATCCTCGATCACCACGCGGGAGTCGAGTTGATCCTCGGTACGGACTTCATGATTCCGGCTGGGATCCGCCTGGATCTGTACAACTCGATGGCGAAGTTACCAGATGAAGTTGTCCTACCTCTCGTGAAGTCCCAGAACTCAGCGGATGAACCGAAGGGCGGCCTCTACATCACAGACGGCCCGACCGAACCGGTGAATCTCGAGAGCCGAGTTCCCACCGAGTTCAGGCTGATGAGGAATCAACCAAGTGATGAAACACATGACTTCTGGGTACGCCGGACTAAAGACTGGGTACCGACCGTGGTATTCGACCGGCGTAACCGAGTGGCTCGAGTTCGCCTGACCAACCTTAAGCCGACTTGGACGTGGTGCCCAGCACATTTCCCAGTGGTTGCCTGGGCGCCGCATGGGGTGTTACCGCCCGATGGTTATGTCAGGCTGCACTCGGCGAAGTACAAAGATTGGCTAGTCATGGCCTACGAAGCGGCTATGGACAAGGATCTGCTGCAAAAGGAACAACGGCTGTACGCCGAGTGGCTGGCTCGACAGCCGTCAGCTGTGGACCGTTGAAACTACCCTGAACTGAAAGGGGTGACTACGTGGCCGTCTACCAAGAAGCGGGATTCGACACTGACTTGCGCCCAGCAATGGGAGAGGCTGGCCGAGTCGGAGGAGCGAGCCGAGGCAGAAGCAGTCGATAGTCCACCCTTGACTCTGACAGAACCAACGAACTCGGCTATCGCTACCCTAGCGCCTGAGGAAGTAACATTGAGCGCGGAGCCTACAGCTGACTTGGTCAATTGTGGCGAAGCACCGAACAAGAATTTCCAACTGCGATGACATCAAGCGACATGGTGGCAGAACGATAGGCAGGGATCAGGCTGCGGTCGCGGATCAAGAGGGTCTATCGAGAGATCTCAAGCGATTGGATAACGTCGACGCGTAAGACAACACATATGTCAAGACAGATTACGGGCGATCGCGCTTGGACTGCGGCGTGATTCGACGTAGACCCAAGCCCGGATCGACGACCAATCTCGCAGATCTAGGGCGGCCGAGGACAAAAGAGGACGGGTCGGCAGCGCACGGCAAATCGCACAGGTCATCGATCGGGAGTTGATCGCCGATCGCCGATCGGGATCGATCGTGGATCAGGAGGTGATCGTGGATCGGGAGCCGATCGGGGTCGATCGTGGATTGGGAGCCGATCGTGGATCGCCGATCGACCCGGATGGGAAGCACATGCGGGCGAAGCCAGGGCAAGAATCCAGTAATCGTTTGGTTGTAGGATGGTAGATGAGATGGCAGCGGTAGAGAGAGACCAGCTAAACATAAATCAGAACGCCATTTGCACAGAAGACCACAAGTGCCCTCAAGTCGTCAAGTCCCAGGAGCTACATTGGCCTCGGCAAGCATCGACACTTTTGGACAGTGAGTTAGTGGTACGGTTAAGACTGGATTAATACATTGGCCAGCTTGACCTACTCTAGCGATCTATTTCTTGTGTGCGAACCCCAGATCGACCGGATACTGCTTGGCCGGCGATCGTTTCTCCTCTCGATCAACCTCGATCCCGCTATAGGAAGCGGCAAGCAACCCAGGAAAGGAAGGAACACACCCGGAAAGGCAACTACAGGCCTTGGATCAACTCCAGGCCGACCGATCGGAGCGAACAACCCTCGATCGGAGCGTATACTCGGACGCAGAGCGAAGACTACCGCGCTGCTCCACAAACTATCCCCGCGTCACGCCAAGACACTCGATCTTCACCAAGTGCTGCATCTTCGGAGCCCCGAGAGAGCAGATCCAGCCCGCTGACGGGTACACAAGGTGAGAACAAGTTCAGCCGATCACGGATCGTTGGGGGACCCCCTCCGTTAGTCGGTGTTTGGGCGCTGGTGGGAAGCTCGATCAGGCCTTAACCAGATTTTGGCCGATCCCGCTACACCACAATGGTGCGCGTGCCCGGATCTTTTGGGGACTCCGGATTTCACCGTGAGTCCGTAGAAGATGCGCAAGTGAAGAAAAAAACCAGGGGAAGAGGCGTCGTCGGATATCGGATCGACGAAGACGGTGCTGAACAAAACGAGATCCGCGGATTGACAGAGTGCTCGGAGGACTTCTGTTGACGGAATCGAGGGTGATCTGGAGACAGATCTAGAAGCCAAACCTCAACATCCTCCCCAGGTCCCTTCGGGGACCCCGGTGGATCTTGGTGCGAACCGAGATTCACTAACAAAACAAACTAAGGCGGGATCGGACCGATACGCGTTCGCTGACTCGCCGACCAGGCTCGATGCGGACTACCTGGACGCGATCGCGGACAAGACCCAGATCGTGAGGAAGAAGCTGAGAGCGCCAGGCTTGGACGACGAAGATCCCAGACCGTCGGCGCTCGACTGGTCTGAGGCTGACCTGGATCGTCAGTATTACTTGAAGGAACTGCGAGATTTCTTGCGTCAAGATCCTGTCATGGTGATCGTGCGGCCAGAGCAGATCGACGACCCGAAGGGCCTGATCTCGGCCCGCCGAGTGACGGATAACAAGCTGATGGCGGTGAAGAACCTGCTCGGGCTGTTGAAGGAAGCCGGCTTCGTGGCTGGCGCCTTTGAAGCGAACGATCTTTTCGATCAAGATCTCGATGTGATCCAGACAGCGATTCAGACATTGGTCGACAAGTTGAGACCTTTGGTCGACATGATCGCGGACAGTCCGGACCCGAAGGTGCCAGATCCGGTGTCGCCGGCTCCAGTGTCATCGCCGCGAGTGGAGGCCACTGGGTACCGATCGTCGTCACCTTATGTCTCCGCAGCGGAACATGTATCGGATACGTCGTCTGAACCCCAACGAATGTCCCTCGGCCCTTCAGGATCTGCGATGTTGGACGCGCGATCACGGAGTCAACGTCAGGAACGCATGCGGTCAGGACCTCGGAAGCAGAAACCCAAGTCGACCGATCGGACCACCAGTGCTACTGGATCAGATGAGTCGAATGGCAAACTGGAGTCTTACTTTGAGGCTGCGATGGCTCGATTTCTGAAGGAACAACAGGCCACGGTGGTAACACCTACTCCAGTGGTCGACGACCACGTTGGATCGCGGGACGTGGAGATGGAATCAGCCGGATCGCCGGATCAAGATCTCTCTCAGTGGGAATACGATCCGGACGATATTGATCTAC